AGGGTGCCGTCAGCCAGACAGTGCCGGCTGGCGACCCCCAGGGGGAGGGCCTTCTCGGTGGGAGCCCCCACCCTCTGGAACGAACTACCCCCAGAGATCCGGGTGATCCCGGATCTCCCCTCCTTCCGCCGCGCCCTAAAGACATGGCTTTTCCAACAAGCGGGTCTGGCCTAGGGAATTTTAGTGGGGTTTTTAAGGGCAATTTTAAGGGTAATTTTAATGATTGGCCTTTTCAAATATTTTCTTTTAATTTGGTTTTAATATAGATATTTATTGTATTGTGGTTTTATAAGGCTGTTAGCCGCCCTGAGTCCGGTGAGGAGAAGGGCGGGGTACAAATTAAATTATTATTATTATTATTATTGTATGACCTTTCATGCCACAGTTGTTAAGTGAATCACTGCAGTTCTTAAGTCAGTCAGACGATTGTTAAGTGAATCTGGCTTCCCCATTGACTTTGCTTGTCAGAAGTTTGCAAAAGGGGATCACGTGACCCCCGGGACACAGCAACCGTCATAAATACGAGTCAGTTGCCAAGCGTCCAAATGTAAATCACGTGACCACGGGGATGCTGCAAAGGTCCTAGGTGTTAAAAATGGTCATAAGTCACTTTTTTCAGTCCTCTTATAACTTTGAACGGTCATTAAATGAACTGTTGTAAATCGAGGACTATCAGTATACCTAATTTTATATATATTATTAGCCCAGGGAATTAACAAAGTGAAAAGCAAGATAACGGCATTTAAAATATCCCGGTCGCTAAACGAATGGTCATAAGCCGAGGATTACCTGAAGACAATATCCAAGATGCTTATAACTGGTAACGGTTATAAATTGAGAACTACCGGAAGACAATATCCAAGGTGCTTAAAACAGGTCGCTAAACAAACTATTATAAGCTGAGGACTATCCAAGCTGCTTATAACTGGTCGCTAAACGAACGGTTATAAATTGAGGACTACCGGAAGACAATATCCAAGGTACTTATATCCTGCACTTCCTAAAAAAACTGCAAAAAGAAAGACTGCAGCTGGAAAAGGGAAGGAGAGAGCTGTAGTAACCTCAACCGAAGGCTCTCCAGCACAGCTGGGGACAATGGGGATTGTAGTCCAATGCATATCAATGTAGGGAAGAGGGAGGGGGGAAAGGCCCACCCCGTTTGTGTGGGAGAAACACGGACTCTCAGGAAGAATGACATTTACCTTGTCAATGTTGGCCTTTTCTGACGGGGTTTCGTCCTCGTCGGTCGCGGATTCTTCCTCCAGAAAAGGGTTCGTGGAGGCTAGCGGAGGATCGGGTTTTTTCTGTCGGAGAAAGACGGGAAGTTTAGGGGGAAAGGAGATCCGTTAAACGCGAGCCCGCCCTGTGGGGCAGCAGCCAAAAAAGCTAATTCAATCCTTGGCTGTGTAAACAGAGATGCTTAACGCCACAATCGTTATAGAGCGATAGAGCATTTTCTTTCAGAATCCAGAAGTAAATGCTGGTTTCTGGGGGGGGGGAATAAATTGCGGTCGTGTGACCACGGGGTGCTGCAAAGAGCCTTACGGACTGAGGGGGTGGCTGAGGGGGCAGAAGACAGACATCATAACTTTGAAACAAGGTTGTTAATAAAATTTGGGGGTCTGTGACAACTCGCCACGGCCAGCTCACTGCGGGAAAACTTGCCACAAATTATTAACCAGTGGAACAACCTGCCTCCAGAAGCGGTGAATGCGCCAACACTGGAAGTTTTTAAGAAGAAACTGGACAGCCATTTGTCCGAAATGGTATAGGGTTTCCTGCCTGAGCAGGAGGTTGGACTAGATGACCTCCAAGGTCCCTTCCAACTTTATCATTATTATTATTATTAAAAGTTACACTAATATCGAAGAAATAGTGCAGGGGTAGGCAACCTTGGCTCTTTTATGACTCGTGGACTTCAACTCCCAGAATCCCTGAGCCGGCCATGCTGAGGAGAAATGGAGAAGTTTCCATGCTGAGCCGTGCTGGCTCAGGAATTCTGGGAGTTGAAGTCCACGAGTCATAAAAGAGCCAAGGTTGCCTACCCCTGAAATAGTGGAACAGAAGAATTATTAAAGAAAGGAAGGACAAAACGTTATGTGAATGACACGAATGAAAACATTTTTTTTAAATTATTTTAGATATTTAAATTGAATTGTTGAATTGGACCATAAGAAAGGCCGAGCGCCAAAGAACGGAGGCCTTTGAACTCTGGTGCTGGAGAAGACTCCTGCGAGTCCCCGGGACTGCAAGGCGATCCAACCGGTCAGTCCTGGAGGAGATCAACCCCGACTGCTCTTTAGAAGGCCAGATCCTGAAGCTGAAACTCAAGTACTTTGGCCACCTAATGAGAAGGAAGGACTCACTGGAGAAGGGCCTGATGCTGGGAAAGATGGAGGGCAAGAGAAGAAGAAGAGGACGACAGAGGAGGAGGTGGCTGGATGGAGTCACTGAAGCAGCAGGTGTGAACTTAAATGGACTCCAGAAGATGGTAGAGGACAGGAAGGCCTGGAGGAACATGGTCCATGGGGTCGCGATGGGTCGGACACGACTTTGCAACTAACAACAACAACAAAAGATGTCCGGCCATGGTGAGCTGGCTGCGGCGAGTTGTCGCACTCTGAACATTTGGAGGCTCCATCATAACTTCGACCAGACATTAAGGACTATCTATAATGGGAAGAAAATCTTTTTTTTTCCCACAGGGCTGCATGGCTCTGGGACTGGCGGGCACAAACTGGCAAACTGCGGGCAAGATACGCAGGGATTCCCCCCCTGTGCCCGCAGGAGGGTGGAACCCACAAAAACGAGGGGTCTTTTTTCTTTTACCGTCACCGTCTCTGACAGGGTGGACCCCGAGAAGCGTTTGGCCAGCAGCCCTTCGAAGTTGGTGGTCCTCTGGATGGCGAAAAGCAGCAGTTTCACCTCGATCTCCCTTGCCCGGGCACGCATGATTTTCCCCAGCTCTATCCTGCAAAGAGAAGGAGGCAAAATCATTTCATGCCAGTACGGGCAGTCTTCGACTGACGACCGCAATTCAGCCCGGAATTCATGTTACTAAGTGAGAAATTCGTGAGTTTTGCCCCATTTTACGACCTTTCTTCCCACCGTTTAATAATAATAATAATAATAATAATAATAATAATAATAATAATAATAATAATAATAATAATAAAGTCGGAAGGGACCTTGGAAGTCATCTAGTCTAACCCCCTGCTCAGGCAGGAAACCCTATACCATTTCAGATAAATGGCTGTCCAGTCTCTTCTTAAAAACTTCCAGTGTTGGAGCATTCACAGCTTCTGGAGGCAGGTTGTTCCACTGGTTAATTGTTCTAACTGTCAGGAAGTTTCTCCTTAGTTCTAGGTTGCTTCTCTCCTTGATTAGTTTCCATCTGTTGCTTCTTGTCCTGCCTTTGGGTGCTTTGGAGAATATCTTGACTCCCTCTTCTTTGGGGCAGCCCCTGAGATACTGGAACACTGCTGTCATGTCCCCCCTCGTCCTTCTCTTCATTAAACTAGACATACCCAATTCCAGCAACCATTCCTTATATGCTTTAGCCTCCAGTCCTCTAATCATCTTTGTTGCTCTTCTCTGTACTCTTTCTAGAGTCTCAAAATCTTTTTTACATCGTGGTGACCAAAACTGGTTGCCATATTCCAAGTGTGGCCTTACCAAGGCATTGTAAAGTGGTATTAACCCTTCACGTGATCTTGATTCATTGTAGTTGTTAAGTTAGTCACACAGTTGTTAAGTGAATCTGGCTTCTTCCCCCTTGAGTTTGCTTCTCAGAAGATCGCAAAAGGGGATCACATGACTCCGGGACAGTGCAACCGTCATAAGTACATGTCAGTTGCCAAGCGTCTGAATTTTGATCACGTGACCACGGGGATGCTGCAACAGTCGTTAAGTGTGAAAAACGGTCGTAAGTCGCTTTTTTCATTGCCGTTGTAACTTTGAGTGGTCAGTAAAGGAACTGTTGTAACTTGATGACTACCTGTCCTTGTTTCAACTTGTGGCATCCCGCAACAGAAATGCTAGAAAACAATATAGCCTTTTTTTTTTAAATCATCACATTGCTCAGATTTTACAGGTAGTTCGCAACTTACAACAGTTGATTTAGTGAGAGTTCAAAGTCACGACACCGAAAACAGTGACTTAGGACCGTTTTTCACACATATGACCATTGCAGCGTCCCCAGTGTCATGTGATTTACATTTGGATGCTTGCAACTGACTCACATTTATGACGGTTACAATATCCTGGGGTCACACAATCACCGTTTGCGACCTTCTGACAAGCAGAGTCAACGTGTGGAATCCAGATTCACTTAACACCGTTAACAACTGCAGTGATTCATTTAACAACTGTGGCAAGAAAAGTCATAAATGGGGCAAAACTCACTTAACAAACCTCTCACTTAGCGACATAAATGGTGGTCATAAGTTGAGGACTGTCTCTATTCAGTGGTGGGATTCTGCTGCACCACTTCGGCAGAACCGGTAGCTAATTGTTTGTTGCCCAGGCCCAGAATGGACTTCTGGAAGCGGCATCCACCCGGAGAATCAGTTGTTCACCTATTTGAATCCCACTACTCCTTTACTCCTTCCTTCCTTCCTTCCTCTTCCTTCCTTCCTTCCTTCCTTCCT